AATTTTTACAGAGGCTTTAAGTGATCATGATCCTGAGTGTGGATCAATTTTTATGATTTTCTTAATTATATTTTAATTATTTAATTTTTAATGGGTTTTAATGACTTAAATTAGGAAATTGTGTTTTAAAAATATTTAAACTTAAGGTTTATTTTTCATACAGTCCTCTGATCACATTGAACCTACCAAAGCAAACCCTACATTTTTCTAATTTTTATTTTAATTTATATAATTATTTTAAGCAAAAGGGTGACTTAACTTTGGAAATTAGGGTTCACCATGTTAGAAGTGCTCTCTAGCTTTGGAAAAATCAGAGAACATTCTCAATCACAGAGAGAACAACCCCTCAAAATTTCATTTTATGGTGATTAATATTTAATTAGTTATGATTTAATGAAGATTTAGGGTATTTAAATAATTTAAAAATAAAAATAAGTTAAATAATTTTGATTTTTGGTCCACATGATTCTCCTTTGTTCACTGAAAAACAGGGTATTTTTTATGGTTTTTATACACCAAGTAATGCATTTTTGAAGTTTTTTGAATTTAATTAAATAAAAAAAACTTATTTTTCTACTTATCCAACTCCGCGCCAGCGCAACCTGCGACCCGTCAAAGCTCCACGCCTCGCCGCGCTATTGGACACTACCTTCTGAGTTAACTGACACACTTCCGTGCTTTATGTTTCATATGATCCGTCTGGCGCGATCTAAGCCATCCGTCCGATACACGCGCAATCAGACGACTCCTGGCCATCGTCCCCAAATGACTTAACTCGTAAACCATTCATTTTTTAAACCTAATTTCTCTCTCAATCCTCAACTAAATCATGCAAGGTTTTTCCTTAAACCATCATCTAGTCGAGAAAAACACATTTAGACGGTTATATGCTCATGAAATTAAACTTCTCTTCACAATTGGTGAAACTGAGCCGTAAATTAGGGTTGGTGATCTATACATTTGCCCAAAAGGTGAGGCCTCGATTGGGTACTTATAGAAGCTTCAGCGGAGTCCAACAAACCTCCTCAAAGTTTCACCTTCCTCTAGTATAAGGTTAAGGCAAGAATTTGATCAAAGGGTGGCACGGGCTTGGTCTAGCTCTATGACAGAGGGCTCAAATGATGAAGCTTTTAGTAAGGAGCTTCCTCTCTTGTTCTGGTGAAGTTAAAAATTGAGTTAATATGGGGAATTTATTGAGTTGGAGGGATGATCGAGAAAAATTCATAGTTTTTTAATTTGAAATTGAGGCTAACCAGTGGGAATTAGGGCATGAAAGTGGTGGGGATTGACTTCTCAGAGTTGCAAGGGGGTCTGATGAAAATTTGACAGATTTTTCTTAGGGTTTGAGCACACTTCTCCCTTTGGCTATGGGAGGTCCTCTATTTATAGAGGGAGCTTTGGTGGCCAACAGGGCATGCCATGGTGGCAAGGCAACCACTTAGGTGGAGGGAAGAAAGGCAGTGAAGGCCAATTGGAGTGAGCCAACTCATGAGTTTAATTTTGGGTGCCATTTGGGCCCTCACTGGCATGGGGTTTTTTGGTGGCTGAGGTGGTCGGTCAGCCAGGGTCAGGTCACCACTAAGCTCAGAGAAGTCAAGGGGATTGAGTGGTTAGCTCAATTTTGTTTTAGGTAAGCTCCATAGTGAAGAACCAAAGGAAAAATGAGGTTTAGGATAAGTGAGCTTAGGTTGGGTTTAAACCCTTGGTCAAGTGGTTAAGATTGGTCCAAGGTGGCAAGGGTATTTGGAATGACCCCAAAGAAGTTTTGGGTGAGGTCAAATGGCTGGCTTAGTCTTGAGGCAGGGTTAGATGAATCATGAAGAGGGAAAGTCCGAGTGAAGGAATGAGGGGGATTGGTCACCTCCTTTTTCCATTTTTGGCAATTTTGACTTTATGATGTCCATGGATCCCCCATGAGACATGCCATGCTATGTATGTGCCCATGGAAATGTTTCATGCAAAAGGAATTTAGGATTTTTTATACATTTAAATGATAAAAGTCAACATGCCCAATTTTGGATAAAACCTCATGTGTATGCATGTTATAATTGTCATGATGCCCATGATAAACATTTAAATTAAAATGGGATGATGAGGGAGGGATTTTATGTCATGTAGACTCACTTTGGGCCTTCTTAAAATTAATGTCATGGGCTTTTGAAAATGCATATGAGTATGGGCTTTTAAAGTATGAATGAATAGTTCAAATTGAAATTAACCATGAGCTAATCAAATTGGGCTTGGTTTTGATTGAAATTGAGTTTAAACTTTGAAATTGGGTAGGTTAGGAGTTAACTGGATGAAAATTGGGGTCAATTTGATCAATTGGGTGCAAATTGGGGGCTTGGGTTTTTAGGGGCAATTTGGAAAATTTAGGCAATTTTGGTGGATTTAGGTATAATTAGAGACCTTGGGTGATTCAAATTAATTTTGGGGACATTTAGGGTGAATTTGGGGATTTTAGAATTTTTTGGAGTAATTTTAGGGGTAAAATTAGGATTTTGGTCAAAATTGGCCAGTTTAGTCACATTCGGCCCGTTGAGTGGTTGGGATTGGTTTAAGGGAGGTTTGAAATTATTTGAGAGGTTTTGAGAATTTTGGGATATGAAGAGTATTTTGGTAATTTTTCGGCCCGTTGAGTGGTTGGGATTGGCTTAAGGGAGGTTTGAAATTATTTGAGAGGTTTTGGGAATTTTGGGATATGAAGAGTATTTTGGTAATTTTTGCAAATTTAGGGGTATTTTGGGAATTATGGGGAAATTGTGGTGTTTTGATCAATTTTGATAGTTTAAAATGGTTTGTAATGATTTTTGGAGAGAATTTAAGGAATTGGGTCATTTTTAGAATTTTAGGGACCCAGGAGAATTTTGGTAAATTTTGGCAAAATTGGGTATTTTAGGTAGGTTTAGGATTTAGAGGTATTTGGTCATGGGTCTTGACCACACTTAACCACCTTGGAACCAAGTCTTACCGAATGGAAACTGCTTCATGAATCTTCACATGTTGGTCCTAGCCCTCTTAACCAAAGGCCAGAGGCTCCAGACTATCCATTTGAGTTTCCAAAAGTGCAAAGATAAAAAAGATTCCGTGAGTGTAGGTTTCTGGGTTTTATGACAAGTAAGGAATTATGATGTGCTTGAGTGTGTGAAAGACCAAACCCTAGCCACCTAGGGTTGTACTAAGTTCAACAGTCCTATGGGAACTCATCCTTGAATCCTCCCATGTTGGTCTCAACCTTCCAAGTGCTGGAGGTTCATGACCATCCATGTAGAGTTTCAAAGAAAGCTAGGAGGTGGTTTGAATTTCTATATAGGTGGGCTCCATCTCTAGTCTTCTATGATAGTCAAAGGGAATGTCCTATGACTATTTAGATCCTAAACACTAAGAGGAAGGAAAGGCCTCACCAAAATTGTGGTCAACACTATTCAACTCAATTCAGGTGAAATCCATACCTCAAACCTAAACTATATATTCAAGCTCTATTCTATCATTCTGATTACAAATTAATGATCCAAAGCCCTAAGGATGAAGAAATTTTAAAACTCAATGTAATTTTAATCAAAATTTAATTAACTTTAATCAATTTAACCTCAAATTATAAAATTTTTAACAAATTTATTAAACTTTAATAAATCTTAATTAATTTAAATTAAGTTTAATAAATCCACTTAATTAAAATCTCAACTTTAATAAATTTTTTTTAAAACTTTAATTAAATTTTAGAAAAAACTATAATAAGTTTTAATGAACTTAAATGAATTTTAACAAACCTCAATAACTTTTTTAAAAAAATATAAACCAATTCTAAATTCAACAACTCTTAAATAACTTCAACAATAACTTTAAAATTAAACTTTAATGGACCTTAGTTAAATCTTAAAAATAAAAAATCTCTAAACTTTAAAAATGAAATTTAAAAACTCTCATATAAATTTTAAACTCAAATTAAAATAAATCTAATAACAAAAAAAATAATTTTACAAAACATAAAAATTTTTTATCAAATCAATTTTTAAAATTTTAACATCTTTTTCAAAATTTAATAACCAACTTAAATTGAAATTTACTAAAAAATAAAATTTTAAAATGGAAAGTAAGTTAACAAACTCAAATTACTCAATTCAAGTGAAGTGAACCTTTTTCCAAGCCCATTCTTCTATCTAAGTCTTCAAACACCTACCATCACACAAACATTCACTGATAATCAAGAAAGATATAAAACATAACATTAATCACGAATATTCTTAAGAGTGATTATTGAGATGTAATAAAGTATGAGGGAGCTCCCTCATAGTGATACCAAACTCTAAAATAAAATAAATTTTATCTTACATCAGTAATGCAAGGGAAAATCCTGGTTCTGTAGATTCATAAATCACAAATATTTTCATTATCCGAGTGATTACATCCATTCTAAGGTAACATTTGTATTCTTTTGGATGATATATTATTCATCAAATGCCTTATATGATCATCTAAATAAAAATCTTTTGAGATTTATGGTGGATTGAATAAGAAAACCCACCAAAGATTTTTCTGGTGACTCTACAGATGATGGTTCCTCTCCATCTCTAGTTATGCCTTAACCTTTCTTTTTATTAGTGATATGTGTGTACTCATTTATGGGTCTATTTTTTGAAAAGTTCATTCTTTAATTCCTTAAATTTAGTTCAATAATTTTTTGGACAATTTACATCCATACCCCCCAATTCTAATGTATTTGTATCTAACACCTAACTTTTGATTATTATATTTATACCTTCTAAATATTTCAAATCATATGAAAAATGCCCGTCTTTTAACTTTTAAAAAGTAAAATAAATATTTTTATGCATGTATAAGATGATATATGTAAAAATTAAAGTTTAATTATTAGTTATATACTTACATAAGAATTGAGTCTAATTTTTAAAATAAGAATAATGTCACATATGATTATCAATCCGCCAATGCAAACAAGGACCAAAAAATTGTTATATAAATCAAGTTCGACTTATTGCCTTTTCTTCTCCATTAAGTTCAACCGTTTCTTCTCCACTCAACAGCGAAATTGCGAAGAAAACGATGAAGGCTACGAGTTGCTTCCTCCTCTTCAATTTCTTCGTTTTTACCATCACGCTCCTTCCTTCCGCCGCTGAGGAGGCTTCGGTCGAATACTGCAGTAAGTGCCTTTTAATTCTTTCTGCACCAAATCTCATGATCTTTTTTTTATTATTATTTTTATTTCTACTGTAGATTAGGGATAATATGGCGATTTTGAATTTCTTCGAGTGAATTCACTTGTATCTTTCAACTGTAAGGTTTAAGTTTGCTTCTTTGTTCCATTTTATTAGGATTAGTAGAACTTTCGCCATTCGATCGGAAGCGAAATCTCTGTGTATGGCTAAAATATCGCTAAAAAAATTCCGGTTTTGGTGATAATTTTTATAACGTAGTTAAGATCTTCATGTTAAGTTTTCCAAGTTTCAAAGTAGATTTGTAGCTTTTTGCTATTTTTTTGTGGAAGTAAGAGGGATGCATTGACTGCAGATAAGAAGGCTGAGTATGCTGTGAAGGTTAATGGAGTGGATATTGATCCTTACCCAGTTGCCCGGGGCAAGGAGGCCACATTTAGTATTTCGGCTAGCACTGGTAAACTCTCGGCTGTTTCAACTTTCTGAGCAATTTTATTTTCTTTCTTTCCGATTTTAATCTGATAAGTTTTGCTTATATTTCTGTTGTTTGAATCTTATAAGCTGTATTTTACTTGGTCTTAATTCAAGCAGTTTGTCTCAGAAAAATATTCTTGCTAGATTAGGTTCATATGGTACGATGAAATTGTAGATCTGGATGGGCCTAATGCCTGCAAAGTTGAAACGTTTATGTAACAGTGATTGGTATGGGAAAATGCTGAATATAGACTTATAGGGATATCTGGCCCAGAAATAATTCAAAATTCTGATGAAGCCCTTGTTAATGGGGGACATGATGAGATTAGTTTTTGTGCATTTGTACTAAGAAACTGTGTTATGAAATCAACCGTAGGAGTTAGATCTCAGAAATTGTTAGCTTGTTCAATGTGTTAAAGCAATGCTCTGTGATTTGTGTACAATGGATTTAAAAGGGAGGCTACTGCAGCATTATTTATATGGATGCAGCAAATTGATTTATTAACATATTATGGAGTCTGCTAATGATCCTGGAACATATATTGCACCAATTATATTGAAAAATATGCCAAACTTTTGCTAATTATTGATTTTGCCTTACTGGACACAGTTGAATTAATTAAAAACTGACATCATCAATGATTTTTTATTTGAAGAAGTAATCGTTGATGTAATGTATGCCATGCAATTACTTATCCAAAGTTTAGAAGAAATGATGATTTTCTTAGACTGATTAATTTGTGCTTATTTTGAGCTGCTTAACATGTTTTTTCCCAGGTGAGGGCATATCTAATGGGAAATTGCTGATTGATGTGAAGTACTTCTTCTTCCATGTCTATCAGGAGACTCATGACCTTTGCAAAGAGACATCCTGTCCTGTTTCATCTGGTGATTTTGTGTTGTCCCATAAGCAGACTTTGCCAGGATATACTCCGCCGGTGAGAAGCTTTTGTTTCCTTGTTTCATCCCCCAAATTTGCTTTTTATATTTGTTGAGATAATTTCGAATGGTATGATTATTCGTGAATTCATGAATCTTCGTTCTAGCCAAGAATTGAAGTAAAAGATTGAGGGAGATTTCTCATTATTTTAATCATACGTACTTATTAGTATTGAAAGCTCAAGGAAGAGTTGACAAGCATATATGTTCTTCATAGATAAATTTTCTAATTCGGACAAAAAATATGTTTAAAAGGGTTGAAGGCATCATGATTTGTTTGTTTGCAAAATTTATGCTAGGAGGTTTGGAACGTGATACAACCTTGCATTAAAAAATTTATATCCCACAAATTAGTTAGAAGCTCCTTTTAAAGGTTAAAAAATAAGAAAACAGGATGGTTTGTGGCATTATGTTGTCATATTGTACCTCTTGATCCTGATAATTCATTGGAATCACATATCAACACTTTTCCTCCACAATCATAGTTTGGAGTCAGTGTTTGTGCATCTTTATTTTTTGTTTCTTTTATGGCTTCATTTTTCTTTCTTTTAATTAGGTGAATCATCAAATAGTTTAGAACCTCCCCTCGTCTTTCGCCTTTTTGTTTCCTCAGGGAAGCAAAAATAAAAAAATAGTCTTAAATATCCTTTTTATGTTACTTTAGTTTTCCCAAAATAATGAAGAAAAAGAAAAGAAGTTATTTGAGTTTGATCATTTTATTGGTGTTTCTTCTCTCTCCACAAAACTAAACCGGAGTGATTTGTTTTTTATTGGCCTACTTTTATGGATATTAAATCTTTACCCAACATGTGTTGTAATCTACTTTATATTCTATTCTTTCTATATATATATATATGTCAAGTCTAGTCAACATTTATTTTGTTCCCAATCAATTGTTATTTGCTTATCCCAATATTTTTTTAGCTCTCTCGATTCAACTTTTTAACTATCACCCTAATTTATATTCTCTATCGCATCATTCCCTGTAATACATGAGATACCTTCAGCTCTAAACTTCTTTGTATTCTTAATTAACGGCATGAGACTTGTTCGATTAAAATAGATTTATTCCTACTTATTCCAATACAAAGTCAATCCTGTTTAACAGCTGATATGGTATGTTCGATTTCCTCTCCGCTCACTGCTGATATGCAACAACACGACCAATCCTCATCGCCTCTCGTCTCCTTTCTCCCTAATCTGTAATGAACTGATCTATATATAATTTATAGTATTGATGCATGTTATATACATTTCAAATACAATTACATCCTTACTTCATGCTGCTATAATGAAACTGATTTCTGAATTCAATTTAATAATCAATTACTCTCTCATGGTTTTAGAGCTCCAAGAATTAATATGTTCCAATCTTCTTTCTTCTCTACTCCCATGGAATCTTTCACACAAACCAACGTTATGTATACACCATTTCTCCAACACTCTCTATTCGCCCATCCATAAAGTTTCTTTAAGCTAACATGAAATTACTACTTTCCACACAGGTCTCATTATGCAATTATTCCAATTGGAGCATTAAGATTCTCAAGCTCTTTCAAACAAATGGATTTCATAACTTCCTGGATGGATCATCCCACCGTCTTTAATTCCTATCTGATAGTAATGAAATTTCCTTGTCAGCATCGATTATACTCACTAGAAGCTATTTGGCTGCAGTTCTATACTCTACCATCTCCCCCACCATCCTGCCTCACGTGCTTCACCTAGGCTTCAATGTTACAATTTGGCTTACTCTAGCCAAACAATTTCAATACTCAAATCGCTCTCGAGTCATTTAGCTGAATGAACTTCATAATATCTCCTTGTAGAAATATCTAATTGAAGTCAATTCCATCGTAGATCAAATTATCACAGTAGGCTCCAAAATAGAGTATGAAGATATCATGCTCTATATCCTCAATGGTTTTTCCTTCCTACAACTCATTCAAAGTTGCTATACGTATCAAACTCATTTCCATTAACCTCGATGACTTTTACTCACTCCTATGCAGTGAGGAAGTTAATGTAGCTGTTGATGTTGACAAAGAACAATCTCTGTCTCACCTAGCACTACTTTTATTTAAAGGAAAAAAAACCAATCAACCTCCTATAGATAGTGGCAAAACCCATGCCTACCTTCTAAAAGAGGCACCTCCAATTCCTCCTTAGCTCATAGTGTAAGCCTTTCAAAAGCCACAAATCATTATTCAGATTAGTGGCAAAATCAGGCAGTGCCTTTATCTGCTTGCATCACTTTGACCTCAACTCAACCATCCTGCCATCTCCAGCCCCATTACAGCTCTCTTCGCGAAAAACACTCCCCAATCAACCAACTGGATACTTGACATACCAGCAGTTTCTCATCTCTCTACAAATCTCGATCACCTTCAACATGTAACACTACACAGGCAAGGAACAAGTGACGGTGGAGAATGACACCTCACTGCCATTCTCCCGTATTGGCTAAGGCCTCCTGCACACACTTCACCGTAATTTTAAACTATCTTGTCTGCTTCATATTCCTCACCTTTCTCACAACATTCTCTTTTTGAAATCTCTTTGTTGACATCAACTGTATTTTTTCATTTGATTTATCTGGTTATCACGTCAAGGACTAGAACACCCATCAAACACTAGCTAAAGGCAGCAAGCACACGACCTTTACTCCATCCCAAAAGGTCATGCACTTAATCCACCGTCTGCTCTGCTGCTCCTTGTCATCAAAGGCTCAATCATGCTCACCAGGAGGTTCATCAAGAAAATTTCAAAAACAATGGTTCCATACGTATTTTTTCATTATCCTCTTCATGTTCTTCCTGCTTATCCTTCAAAATTTATAGATTTACGTTTACTAAATCCTTAACGTCTACTAGTTCTCCATTTGAATTGATTCACATAAATATATGGGGTCCTGCCTCAGTTTTATTCACATCATGATACAAATATTACATCATCTTTTTTTATGATTTTACTTGATATTGTTGGCTATTTCCAATTTCTTAGCTGAAGCTCTACTAAATCTAACTCAATTCCAAAAATTAGTAACAATACAATTCAATACTAACATCAAACAGCTTCATTTTGATGGGGGTGGTTGAGTTTACTTCGCTTGCTTTTTAATCACACCTCCTCGAGTTGCCCCTATACATCACAACAGAACGGAGTGACGAAAGGAAAGCATAGACATATTGTTGAGACAGAGAACTCTCCTAATAGATGCAAACCTTCCCCATCGCTTCTTGCATGATGTCATGTCCACAGGTGTATATCTCGTAAACCATATGCCCTGCAAAACAACTCACATGCTGTCTCCCTATCAGTTACTATACAATCAACAACCCAATTACTCACATCTTCGCATCTTTGGAACATCTTGCTACCCATGACAACAACCTATCACAGTAAATAAATTTTAACCCAAAGCTCCTCACCATGTATACCTGGGTTACTCCTACTCACACAAAGGCTATCCATTCTATAACCCTTGTTCAGGAAAATTCTAATCTCTCGGCATGTAATCTTTGACAAATCTACATTCCCATACAAACCACCTCACCCCTCACCACAACCATCTCCAACATCACATGTTCCACCATTGAAACTCACACCCACCTTGTTCACAATCAATCTCCCACTAATAATATGCCCACAGCCCCTTCTTCTTCAACTCATACTACTACCCATACCACACCACCAATTCTCCCAGCAATCAACCAAATGCACCTTCACTATTGCCAGCAACCTCCCCCTTGCCCTTCAAATCCGATCCTCTCCTTCATTACAGTTTACACACAAGATTGTAAACCGATTATTGGAACCCCAAACAAATATTAGACTTAGTTCACCATGTCACTCTACCCACAGAACTCACATTCTTTAGTCATGCTATTAAATCCTTTCATTAAAGGGCAGCTATGTACTTGCCCTTTTCAATAGCTTAGTTACCTGTTATAAAGCTCGTCTTATGACTCGAGGATTCAACCAGAAATAAGGGAGATATACTATCGCAAAACTTTTAGCCAAGTTGCAAAAATGCCCACCATACTAATATTTCTAACAATTGCTCTCCAAAACAAATGGCTAATTCTTCGATGTCTCGAATGCTTTCTTACATGACAAAATAGATGCAGTATACATGAAGCAAACTTCGGGATTCCATTACAGTCAGCATCCTTCCCATGTATGTTTCCATTGCAAAGCACTTTGTGGCATAAAATAAGCACTGCGCCAATAGTATTCTATCTTCTCCAGTCATCTCAAACAACTGAATTTCCAACCTGGCACGACAGATCCTTCCCTTTTCATATACAAAAATGGCAATAAACACACCTGTCTTTTAATCTATGTGGTTCTTCTCACATGCTATGATGCCTTGCTTACACCACCCTCATTCAAAATTTACATCACCCATTTCCTCATGTATGAGCTTGGTACTATCTCCACCTTCCTAGGCATTCAGAAATCAGATTTCTTCCTGAACCAAGCAAACTACCTTACCACCCTTCTACATACAACCAGCATGGACAGCTGCAAACCAGTTCAAAAACCATTACTGATTCCCAATTCTCACAACCTTTCATTGACCGTGCTCATTATGGTTGCCTAATAGGCTCTCTCCAATGTCTGATAATTACCATATTACATTGGTTGTGAATCAAGTATGTCATATGCACAATTGCGCCATCAATCATTTTCAGTTACTCAAAAAATTTCTTCAACATCTTAGGGAATTTAACATGCGGCTTTGCCATCACCACTGGTGACATTCTTCTTCGCCACTATTCACACTCTTACATGGGTGGGAAACCAGTCGATTGACGATCGATCACTTGGTGCTGCACTTTTCTTGGGAACAAACACCCTGATCTCCTGAAAAGTACAGAAGCAAACGAACGTTGCTCACTTCTCCATCGAAGCGGAATACCCCGCACTAGCCTCTACCACCACCGACATCATTTAGTTATTGCCACTCGTTCAATCCAAACAAGTCATTTTGGTCATCATACGTGAAAATTATGGAAGCTAGAAATTTATTTGTAAAGACTCACATAACATTATTTATAAAAAAATTGAGTAGTTGCCAATTAATGCTAAATGCAGCCACTGTGAGTGAGCTAATTGGTCCCAAACTCAAATAATATATATCATACAATAATTTCAAAATCCAATATAGACACAAGTGGCTTATTTTATATTTCATTCTTTTTGCTAACATTGCATGACGATTATGAATTTATGTTCAAAATCAAATTCATTGAAAAACAACATTTATAACTCACGAAACAACTTCTCCAACATATACTTGCAGGGTTCATACACGCTACAGATGAAACTCCTTGATGAAAATAACAAAGAGCTGACATGTGTTACCTTTGGCTTCAGTATTGGCTTCATCTCACCTGTTGCTGATGGCTGAAATCAATGAGAATGAATGTGAAGTCTTGAGCGTATAAAATTTGAGGATGTATGCAAAATAAGTACTTTGAGGATCTGTTTACTGCCCCTTTGTGTGCTTGAACAAGATGTTTATTTTTAATACTTCAACACTTTCTGTATGGCTGTGTAAAAAACTTCCTGCTTATGTACTCTTTTAAAATGCTTCTTCTTATACAGTTAGTGACTTTTTTCGCTGCAACTCATCTTGGGCTTTATACTATCGCTCTATATAAATTGATTGTTATTGCTTCATTTGTTTAACAGTTTACATTATTGTAAGGGCTAGTTTATTTCACAAGTTTTTAATTCCGAGAGGATCAGAAGTACTCAGAATTATCCTAAGTTATGCTTTGTATCTTTAGATTGAATTTTATGTTTTAGATCAATTTTCTTAGAAGTATCGCTTACAGTTCAATAAGATAAGATGGAGAAAATGCCCATTTAGTAAGGACTTGTAACATAACAATAAAGACCATTAGCCTTGGATCATAGATCTTAAGTGAGAATCATAAAAAAAGTGGTAACTCGGGGCTAAATCTAATAATTGCATTCTATTTATGACATATTTATCTTCAAAGTTTAAGAGCCTAATCTTTTGTCTTCTTGAGTAGGGGTGTAAACAAACTGAATATTAGCGAATAGAGCTTCTGTTTGTGTTTGTGTTTGATTCATTTGAAATTAAATATGTTCGAAATAAGGTCGCGGTTGAAGTTATTTGTGAAATGAGTGTTCGTGTGTGGTTCGATTTGTTTGAATTTAATTTGAATTGTTCAAATTACTCGGTATGAAATGAGAAAAAAATTCAAAAAATAATAAATTTAATTTTTTATTAAAAAATATCAAATAAAAAGGTGGAGATCAATTTTAGATAAATGAATATTCTTTTTTACAATCATTTAATCAATTTTATATTTTAAATTTTCCAATCAATTATATCATAAAATTTTACAATAAAATTTTATAATTATAATAATTTTTAAATGTTTATTTATTTCAAACCGATATGAACCGAACACGAACAAACAACTTCTAATTCGTGTTCGGTTCGTTTATAATTCAAACCAAGAAAAGCTTATTCGTATTTGGTTTGCTTGTTTAATGAACGAATTGAACGCAAACTATTTATGAAGCCTCACACGAGTTGTTCACGAATGATGCCCTATCCTTTGAAAATGGGGTTTTTACTGACTACAATCATAGCACCATGGCCTATGGTGCGACAATGAGATTTCTTGTCTTGATTTAGTTAGAGGACAATTATTAAACCTGGATTCAGTTAGGGGATGATTGTCGAGCTTCCAAAATTTGACTTTGGACGAAGCTTTTTTTGAACCACTATTGTCATTTTAAGAATCCTTCCCTATCATATTGAACTATTATAGTAACCACTTTGAGTTTGCTAGAGATGGTGAGAATTTCTTCATATAAGCTTAAAAAGAAATTTAAATGTTGAGTTTGCCAATATGATTAGGATTCACAAATCAACCCATAACTTGGCTCAGGTTGGGTTTCTTCCTATAACTTGGCTCAGATTGGGTTTCTCCATGGGTTTATTTTATCTAGGACCCTTTGTATAAGTTATTTAAGGTATCGAGAGAAGTTAAAATTGAGTTAAATATAATTTGAATTAGTTTAAAGGCCATGATGCAATTATTAATAGCTTTTAATGTGTTTGGGGTCAAACCCTCTTTGACCATGGTCAAAGTTAGCTTGTTAAAACTTCCCAACCAAGATTTTGATCCATTATGGTAGTTGGTTTCACCTAGAGCCCAAGCCTAGTTCACTTAATATAAATTAGAAATATTTGAGAGCTATAATTGCGTAGAACCTTAATGGCTTAGCTCTGACTTAGGTCATATTGAACTTAGGTTCAATGGGTAAAAGTTGGACTTAGGCTATAATAATTCAAAGATTTTTAGAATTTATCATACCAATTTAATATTTTCTTAAATCACCCAAAAAAATAGAATCCAAGCGCATTTTAGATAGTTTGTTTATCTAGGGTTCAAAAGCTTTCCATAGCACCTAACCAAATATTTTCATAATTTTTTTTATAAAGTTTTGAATTTTAGAAGGTCTACAAGTTGATTTAAATTTATTTTTGTTCTTAGATTGTTAATAAGTTTGTTGTGTAGAACTTTCAACCTATTAGATTAATTCAATTGTTTGATTTAAGGATAAGTCTCACTAACCACAACAAATATTAGTAGTTGTTTAATTTGAGAATGTCTGACATAGCTTAATCTCTCAAAATATAGAACCTCAGCTTGATAAATGAAATATATGAAATTGAAGCAAGTCAAACCCATAATGAGTTGTATTAGGTTAGTCTTTATAAATGAACAAGCGAGCGAAGACCATAAACTATTCAATTTGGCCTAGTGATCACCATTAATCTTAGGGCAAGTGTGATCAAAGGAAAACCTATTCTCTTATATTAATATGGTCATTTGCATGCAATTCAGATTTACAAAGCTTGAAATATACATATGATCATCTGGTTTTTGAAGGTTTTACTTAACCTTTGCATGTTAAACTGAATCACCAATTATAGAGGGTTAGCTCTAGTATTGCCTCCTTCATTTGCTCTAGTAATGATGAATTTTAGCTATAATGGGTTTTATAGGAAAGAAACTTTCACATAAACTGCTCAAACTTTATAGGGTGGATAGAGATGTGATGATGTGAGAAACTAGAAGTAGCTGCCCCTTCCTTTGGAAAATGGTCTTTAGATAGATCATGATCAGTGCATCAGAGGTCAATATGGATGATAAGTTTTCTTGCCTTGATTTAGTTATGGGACAATTGTTGAGTTCTAAGTTGACTTTGGGGGATGCATTTCTTAAACCACCATTGCCATGTTAGCAACCCTTTCCAATCAGATTGAACTACTATAGTAACCATTTTAATCCTACTAGAGATGGTGATGATTTCTTCATAATGTTTAAGAAGCAAGGCTTACAGTTAGGTTAGCTAATGTGATTTGGATTTATAAAACATCCCAAAAATTGGCTCATATTGGGTTTATCCAAGAATCTTTTGGTAGGTTCCTAATTGTATTAAGAGCAGTCTAAAACAGGTTAATTCTAAATAGATTTAGTTTAATGGCCATTGCCCAATAAGACTGTTATAGGTTTTACCAGGTTTATGTTCAAAACGCTTTAACCATAGTCAAAGGTAGCTTATTTATGCCCGTATACCATAAGATTTTGATGTATATGAGGATAAGTTCACCTAGAGCCTTGGTGTAGTTCACTTGATTTAAATTTTAAGTAGTTGAGAGCTTCAATTGCATGCATTTGAAACCTTAATGGTATAGCCATGAGTTTTGTGATAATCCTCCAATGATGGGGTTTTTTCATTCTAATCTTATTTATTTATTAGAAGTGATATTTGGTAATCTAGTGGATGGGTGTATGATGTAAATAGTTAATATACATCAATTATTAATCATTAGAAGAAAATGTGTGATTATCAACTAATAGTTTTAAATATTATGCAATGATCAATAATATCCATAGTTATTCTCATTATACAATAGAAAACTAATGACCAAGGAGACAGTTTTTGGACATTGATGTATGTTAGAAGTTGATAAAATTGACATATATTAGATGATAATAAACGAGAAATATCCTATATTGTGTGATGGTTCATGATCTACTCTACAAATCCCTTTAAATGAAAGGAGACTAGTGTAAGTTGGGTTTGGTGGTTAACAAAAGTTAAATATTTGCAGGCATTAAATGATAGCAAAGTAGAAGTGTTAAACATTGGTTGATGATCCATAGTTATTATAAAAGAGAAGATTAATTGCAACTAAGTATGGTGTCAAATATCTATAGCAGTTATATGCCAAACATTGATAAAATCTTGACTAAGAACATCAAATGCCAGATAATGGTTGGTGATCATTAAGTCATTCATTTTATAGTATCAAAGTTCAATAACAAAAAATGTGTTTCTGCATGTTAGTTTCCATCAAATATTAGATTTTAAGTACCTGAGATGACTAGTTAGGAATGTTTGCTAACAAGTGATGATAGATAGTTTTTTCATTTATTCTACACATGCAAATGGAGATGTGTCACCAAGAAGGTGGTTGTTAAAAATTAATGGTTGATAAATATCAGGCATTGGTAGTTGTAAAAAAAACTTTCACTTGGGAATATTAGATATTGAGTGATAGATTACTTTGATCAATTATTCCTCTTGTTAAAGGAGAGATAATAAGAGCAAAAAAAGATAACAAGTTCTTTCAATATATAAAATGAGTCTGAGAGCCCAGGGAATACCCCCACTTTTTCCCCCTGGGGACACTCGCTATGTCACTCTATTCTTTGGGCATGATGTACATGACAAATTTGGATTGAAAAAGTGTATAACTTGGTAACAAGAGCAAAGAAAGATCTGAGCTACAATCAATCATCTTTTCAATTATTCTCCATATAAGAAGGAAAATTGTTGATTAAGAAGATAACTATAGGACACTAATGTCTAACTATGAATGATAATCAATGGTCATCAGAAAAGATGATGCCATGTTGATTATAAGAAAAAAGTTTATCAAATTTTGAGAAGAGACTAGAAGAAAAAGATGAAGAGTCTTCAACGAGAGATTTTTCTCTACTTGGGGAAAGTGCATGAAAAATTTTGGTTCTTCCAACACCACACACTCTTTGAAAGGATTTTTATTTGAGTGACTAGATATGACATTACTAACTCTATACTATATTGAAATATAAAAAATAAATCATTATACAATAAGATCAATCGATAAAACAATGAAAATTTAAATTTTCACGAGTCTACGTTAACTAAAGATTTATTACCAACCTAATTGGAAGTTAGGTTAATTTTAATGTGGATTGCAAGTTCCCTATAAGGGAAAGACCTTGCAGTTAATTATATCTTAGGAGAGGGAATTGATTCACTTAAAATGTGTGATATGTGTATGTATGTATTATGCTCTTTTTGTATCATTTTCATGATTTATTGGAGTAAATTAAGTATGATTTGTTAGATACATGTCCAATTCTAGAACTCAAACACATGGAAGTACCAAATAAGCTAAGGCAAAGTCAAGAGCCCCGACACCTAGTTATGTGCCTAGGTGCCCAATGATGTTTCAATCGTGCCAAACTACAAAGTGGTCAACGTCTATGCACTAAAACTTAAGCGCCACTATTCATAGAAGAA